TGAACAGGAGTAGGGTCGCCTGTCCATTCTCGTGGGTTTTCTCCAGGTCCTCCGGTTTCCTCCCCACTGCTAAAGACACCTACGCACACGCGAATTATTGAAATAAAATTGAATCATATGTTAGTCCCGAAATGACCTAGTTTGTATCGAGTGGACGTTAAACCCCATCTCTCTCTCTCTCTCTCGCTCTCTCTCTCCGAAATTCAGATAAATGTGGTTGTCTGGTACCGGATTTCGTAGATAGCTGTTTGGCCTGGATGTGACGTAACCTATTTCATGTGTCCCTCGGACTCCCACAGCCGACATACACAGAACTAAGACTAGTAATTGCTAGTTGTCCCCACTTTTGTTTGAATTGACCTTTCCTGGCAGGTTTTGGAGAATAGTAATGATTTTGAGGGGGAAGAATCGAGAAATAAACTGGTCTTGCGAAGTAGTGAAGTGGGCAGTGTAGTTTCAAAAGATATTATTCAAGTGAAACATTATAAAAGATAAATCCGTATTGTTATTAGAAATATTTCAAATTACGACCATATAATAAATAATTAATACCTGTTGTTGCTGGTAAGGTTGGCGACGTTGCAAGTGGAGCTAGAAAATGAAAGAATAAGTTTAGTTAAATTCCAGACAACGTAATGAACATTAGGGAAAATTTATCACCAATTTACATTAAGGGTTTGGAAAGACCTGCCTATACAATACACATATATAAACATAAGGAGTGTTTGAATTAATGTTATCTGAATTGTAATTCCCTTGCATGTAAGAGTTTATGAGTTACAGTGTTTGAATAATAGTGGTCGATAAAAACGCCTAATTTGTCACGTTTCTCGCGAATCGATGAATCTGATATTTTTAAAGTCATTTCTTCTGCAATGCGCCATTTTTGCATAGAGTTATGAAATTTCCTGAAACTGTTTTTGTCATTGTATCTACATTATAGGGCTTTAGATAAAACTGTTTAGGTATTTATATTTACTTTTAATTGCAAATACAGAGTTGTCGACATGATGTAATTGAGAATTCTGCGTACTGGCGAATGTAATGTATAGTTAAGAGAATTGAGCAGTGGTAAAATATTTTACTGGTAGTGTTAAATATTTCACGCGAAAGCTATGGTGGCTGAAAGCGTCCATTTAGATCCGCGTGTTAAGCCAGCACGACGAAAGAGGCGCCGATCGGCGACTTTTTCGTCGTACTAGCTTAACGGCGACCCACGACTTTCACAACACGAGAGTCGCCGTTAAGCCACGCGACGAAAAAGTTGCCGAAAAAATCGGCGCCTTTTTCGGCGACTTTTTCGTCGCTTTGGCTTAACGGCGACTCTCGCCTCGGAAGTTTATAGTTAGTTACATGCGGAATGGCTACATTTTACTTCATTTTACAGTGTGTGTTATGAGCAGAGTTAATTCCCATGTATAACTTACGTCGTTCTTATAATTTGTAACAATGCGGAATATTTTCTTATGATTGTGCATTCTATTTTCAGAATATTACATGTTGTATTGTATTGAATAGTCTACAAATACAATAACAACAAGCATCTTGGTAGTGTTTCCTTTTGATACTGTATACTGGGAATTTTATCTAGTGGGCCAAGCCCATAGTCCCTACCGAACAAAAACTAAAGGTTTCTAAGAATAATCGTAGGTCAAAAATGTGATGGCGTCCTTATATAGTCAACGTGCAAAATAACAAAATCTATACATTTCGTAAATAAATCTTAAACACAAGCAAATGAAACTATTTACCCGTTGGTGAAGTTCCAGGTACCACAGTCTCTTCAAAACAGGCCCTAACGTCGAGACTGAATTTAACTGGACTGGAAACAATAGCTGGTGTCACTTTAATTCGAATCTTCTCGGCTTTGGTTGCTGCTGGGAAATTAGCTTTAGGTACTTGTGCCGCGAGTCCCTGTAAATAATATTATACTGCTGTAGGGAGTCACACAGGAATCTGTCATGCATAATAAGCGACATACTTTAGAAAGTCACCCAAGACTGCACTGTGTATACTTAACTTGGGCGACTTTCTGTAATATACAAATCAAAAAACAAAAGTAACACAATTTCATATTCACACTTTTGTATAGTCTGGTAAACGAGATAATCGGGTATCGTTATTTCTTAATTTGGAGAAATTATAAAACAAATAGCATCAACAAGACAGGTGGCCAAAACAAAAGGCATCACGAAACTTCCAATCATTGCAAATTTCTATAGAGCACGAAAAGGGCAGTGTTTTTGCACTGGATGTTATTACTAAGAATAAATATGTTATTAAAATCAAAGTTTTACACTTACAGTATCCGTGACGGGTGTCTCACTACCATCAAAAGCTACCAATGTTATTTCAACACTAGCAACATTTTCAGGAATAACAAAAGCAACTGATCCCAACTCAATTTCTTCATTTGTATTAGGTGACAAATCGATTGTAAATTCTAGCGAGCCGTTCACTGTTATGGATACTGGGCCGTTGTTTGGATTAAGTTTATCAATTTGTTCGGGTGCCAAACCGTTGATACTGCTTGCTGGTATAAATGCTGGATTTTCCATACCATTTATTTCCTCACATCGTTCTGTAAAGCGGAAATTAATTAATTAATTAATTGAAAAAATACACATACTACACAGACATAGTAAGCAATAAACAACCAATATCAAATAAAGTGAATGGATCTGGGCTCCAGTCGTATGTGCCCTCTGCTATATCGGTGAGGCAAACATAGGCGTACTTGCGTAGTTGTTGGTACAATATAATGTCTTAAAATGCAACCAGTTCCTCAAATACACTAGCTCTAGGTACAAATAACTGACAAATAATTAATTACAGCGTGACATGTTGTCAGGTTATTTCAAACCAAGTATTTCCTTGCTTGGTTATAGTTTTTTAATAATACATGAACAGTAATTCAATATTAGCATTGTTAGGGCATTTTTTTTTAGTTATAAACTAACGATATTAATATGATTTAAACTAATCTGATTGCATTTGAAGAAGATAATTATTTGGAATTTGAATGTTGATATAAGGAGTATTTCCGATTATTCAGAAAATACAAGCGAAAATAGACTTATAAACAAGCCATCAGTGAGGATGATTGCCCCCACCGACATTCCAAAATAAATAGATGACATATACTAACTAATTGAACATTTATCTTTTTGAAAAGTATGGAACAATCAAACAGAACATCTAATCTTATTATCTTGTCCCACAATATCGGCAAATTAAATTGCTTAGTGCTATGGTCAGTTCCTTTAGATAGATACGGAATAGTATATTATCTGCTTTTAACATGATATTCTAGTACCGATAAAAAGATACGGATTAGTATATCATCCGCTGTTATAAACTTTTAACATAATATTTTAGTATCGCTAAAAAATACCCGACTGCTATTACCTGTGGGAGACGTTCCCGGCGCAGTTGGTGAAGTTCCGGGTGCAGTTGGTGAAGTTCCAGGCGCAGTCGGTGATGTTCCGGGTGCAGTTGGCGATGTTCCTGGTGCTGGAGATATAAATGTTTGTATAGATATTTCAGAAAAGAATTAATTGTTTGTCAAGACTTGGACTGCTTAAATTAAATGGTTTGTCTGAAAACAGGCCCGGGGCTTAAATTTAACTGTCAAGGAAATTTACGTTCCTTTTAATTATATGAAAATTCATTACATGTTTACTGTTTATCCCTATATTACACTGCTGACAGCTATTGTTACAGATCTATTTGAGTCCTCGCAATGTTTTATTTCATTCCATCTGATATAAAATTTCCTAAAATATATTTAACAAGTTATCAAATCGTCCATTAGGCTTACCTGTTGGTGATGTTCCTTCTGTGCCAGTTGTAACTATAAAGATACAGATGTAGTAGAACATTAATATGGGATAAAGTAATTATATTAAATGTGGATAAAGAAATATCTAAGAAAAAAAGAATAAAGATTTGCTACGAACCTACAAAACAGGCGTGCACACTAACATCAATCGTCACTGGTTTGTCCGAATCCGTTGGTGTTATTTCAACCATAATCTCTGTGACAACGACTTCAGGTGGGAATTTAAGAGAATCATCAGTGGTATCATTCTGTTTAAAGATAGAACGATATTGTAATTTAAAGTTTATTGGTGGATTCAAATCAAATAAAAGTAAACGACTGGAAACACATACAATTCCCCATATAAAGCATCTAATTAAATCAATGAATATAAACAATTTATGGTTGTATGACTCTTATAAATTGAAAAGAAAAAATTGTATTGGTTTGACCATGACAAAGTACTTACATCAGTAGATACAAGTAGTGTCCATGGTGCTGAAGGTCCCGTTCGTCCAAATACTCTAAATGTTTGCACATTGTCATTGGCAGGAAGTTTTACTTCTGACAGATCAACGGGCTCAGCATCAGTAAGTTTAAATGTGACGTTGGTAGGAGCATCCGATGGGTTAATTGTAAATTGATCACCACCTGGTCTCAGATTCTCTGGATCATCTGTCGATGGGAATCCAGATGGTTGTTCAAGGTATTCAGCTGGTATAACTGTTGGACTCTCCATTCCTTCTGTCACAAGACATCGTGCTGAAATACAAAATGTGCCAAGGGTTAAGATACAACACACATCCATAAATCAAATGCATGTAAATCATTTTTGTTTTATTTAAACTGTAATGGTCACATTTTGTTGCATTCAAAAAGTGTTTATATAAATGAAGCCTGGACCTTATTCCCTTTCTTACAAAATAAATAAAAATAAACTTACGTGTAGTTGTTCCAACTGGTAAAATGAATAAAAGGAAAAGTTAAGATAAGATAAGTAACTCAACCAATTTTGTTTCAGCTTAGAATTGTTCGACTGTTTTTATTTACATACGCATATAGATATACATGTATTTTATAGTTGTTATAAACTAACGAAACTGCAGTTGAACAAAATGGATATCTGTAATTTGACTCTGGAAATTAGGGATATTCAGAAATTACAATTACCTGTAGGAGATGTTCCTGCTTCAGTGGGTGATGTTCCTGCTTCAGTGGGTGATGTGCCGGACACACTTGTTTCTAAAATAAAAGAAGTATGCCCATAGAATCATAGACGACAATTGGATTGAATTCCTTGGAAGATTATTCAAATTTATTTTCTTTGCATATTTTCATCGTCGAACACATAATAAAATTGAATTACAAATATATTAGTATCCTACCTTCGAAACATGCTCTAACATCAAGAGAGAAACTTGTTTCGGAATCGTTATTGGTTTGGGTTACTTCGACTCTGATTTGTGCAGCTTCCGTACCAGCAGGGAAGGTAGCTTTAGGAATGGGTGCTGATAAATCAGTCTGTAAAAATAATAGAAAACATCAGTTCTTGTAAACAAAAAACTCTTAAGGAATAGAGTCTTAATAGCAAGCGTGTTTATACTTACTGCAGTCAAATAAGTTGCTTCTGTTTCTGAACCACCAGTTGCAATTACAAATACCCTGATAGATCCTACATTCTGTGGTGATACAAGTTCCACTGATTTAATTTCTACCGTTTCATCAGTGATGGGTGCCAAATCGATTGTTACACTAATTGGCGAAGTTTGGGCAGGGAATGTAGCTGTGGTTGCAGTTCCTGGTCTAAGGTTTTCGGGATTGGAAACGCCTGGTGCTGTTATACTGGAAGTGGGAATAATAGCAGGGTCCTCCATACCTTTAACCTCGGCACAAACAACTGTAAATTGGAAAAAAACAACGGTTAATAAAATTGCAAATATTTTATAGTTATCAAATATGTTTGAAAGTTTTTATCTATATACTCATTTATATACGCAGGTGATGTTTTCAAAAACATAGAGTGCCCCGTTCAATACATACTGGTATAAAGACATCCTAGAAAGATGTCACAAGACATCGTGCTGAAATACAAGATGTGCCAAGTGTTAAAATACAACACACATCCATAAATCAAATGTTTTGATTTAAACTGTAATGGTCGCTTCAAAGATTTTGTAGTATCCGGTTTGTGATATGTCATATTTACACTCAAATGCAGAGTTATTGTTTTAATTTGACTGTTTACATTAACTTACGTGTTGCTGTTTCAAGTATACAAAACACAAATTATTAATATCAGATAACACTATAGCTTATAAAAGCTTGAGTAATTTAAACTTCCCAATATCTCACAATATCAAAATTGTCGAAATTTAAATGATCTACATATTTGTTTTAAGTTTCAAGTATACAAAACACAAATTATTAATATCAGATAACACTATAGCTTATAAAAGCTTGAGTAATTTAAACTTCCCAATATCTCACAATATCAAAATTGTCGAAATTTAAATGATCTACATATTTGTTTTAGAATGAATGAAGCTATGAATCATTTTCAAAGAAAATTACGGGTCTTATCTGTGAATAGATGTTAAGATGACATAACTTCACAGAAACCATTTAAAAATGTAAATCGTCAAAATAGTTTTACACTCATGTACGAGTCGGGTTTTGTTTAGTGCTTCGAGATAAATAAAGAGTTTCATTCATTTGCAAAGTTCACATAGCTGGTGAAATTTACATTAGTTCGACATACGTTTGCATTTCTGCATCGTTTGCATTAAAAGTAGCAGTCCAATTGTTTAAATAATGCTCACAAACCAAAATGTAAAGGGATAATTATTGTCACTTTGCAGAAAGTTTCAGCTCAAATATTGGGTCATTAATTGTATAACAAGGTTACATATATATAACTAACATATAGCTAGGATTTCTTGCTTACAAAATTCCCTGATATGTTTATCCTTCATTCCGCAGATGATTATCAAAAATGTACAAACGTAAAAATCATTACGTCTACTTTAATATAATTCCTAAGCTTAACGTTTACGTAAGCTGTTTGTTTTCAATAAAGAAATAACGTTACACGTCGTCACACCTTCCAGTCATTTACACTGACAGTTTACACGAAGATATCCACTACCCACTTGATTTTCGATTAACATCACATATTGGTCAACAGAATAATAATAATAATACAAAATAATTATTGTGATAACGCGTGCTTGAACGAAAGAATAAATAGTACTCGACGATATCTAAAATACATCATACACCATGCCTTTAACTCTTACTATGAGGCTGACCAGGTGGTTGCTCTTTTTTTTCTTTTGTATTCCATTCAGTTGTCTTGTGGTGGGTTTGGGTTGTGTGTAGGTTTTTTGTGGGTGGAAAAAACGGACATTGGCATTGATCGTCATACATCGGAATGAATGAAGCCAGAATTAGTCCGGCGGCCAAAACTTGGGACGATTATATATGGAACCATTAAAACCATTTTGTTGCCACGAGATCACTGTCTCTCTGGAGGGCTTTCAGTAATTAGCCAATAAATAATTAATTAAAATCCCATTGGTTTAAATTGACACAAAATGTTGAAATACGCCACTGTAACCATTTATTTAAATAGCCCCACCCCCTCCTTCGAATCAAATCCGGGTTCATTTTCTCAGCTGGTTCTTCGAATGGTTTCAATAATTAATAATTATAGAAAACAAATTAAACCCAAATTAGTAAAAATTATACCAATGTCGAGGTATAGATTTTATAGTGATGTTTTATATGGACAGCTCAACGCATTATTTCGCCACTGGAGCACTGTCAATTGGAAGCATTTAAATGATTAAACTTGTCATTTCAATGAATTAACAATACCCTAAGCAACTAACATTGAGGCAAATTTATCAAATGTAAAACACGAGGTGCGGCACTTATGTAACCTATGGGGATCCATCACAAGAGAGGGTGTCAATCCGGTGACGCACGTTCAGTCTCGTACTCGTCTCGAGCAATCGGTTGCCATGAAACACACACCCTCTGTTGCAAGAGTGGTAAAATTGATCGAACTCATCCTTTGGTTATCCCAATGCTTCATATGGAATTTAAAAAAAATCTGCTGAAAACTATAGCTTGATATCATTATCCTGTAATGTAGCCAAAGCCTCACACAAAATTTGAAAAGGGGTCTCTTGAAAACTGTAGCCTCTATCAAGGTTTACGGATAAGAGGATATCACTCTTATGTGATTATAATACCTAGGATATCACTCTGGAACAAAAGGCCGTGGAGTGTTCACTCTCTCTCTTGGGTGCGTCACACCAATAATACCAGTAAACAAATGAGAGGCATTTTGTATCGTATTTACGTAATTATACAGGTGTCACTTTTCAGCTTCAACATAAATATAAGAGGTCCTCTAGTAGTTTGTGGGAGAAGTTCCGGGCGCAGATGGCGAAATTCTTGGTGCTGGATATATAAATCAATTGTTTTTCAAGTGCATGGTCATCTGAAATTAAAGTGCTTGTCCGAGAATATAAGCCGAGCCTAGAAGATCTGTAACTGTCAAGTACATTGACATCATTAACCATTACTGCTTTATGTAAATAGACTGCATCAAGATATAAACAATTGTAATTAAATGTAGTTGATTGTTTGTACTTGTATTACCTGTGGGAGAAGTTCCAGGCGCAGTCGGTGAAGTTCCGGGTGCAGTTGGGGAAGTTCCGGGTGCAGTTGGGGAAGTTCCTGGTGCTGGAGACAGAAATGATTTTATATTAAATATTTTATAAAAGAATGAATCGTTCATCAGTTCTGTAACTGGTCTAACTCAAGAGCTTTTCATAACTTTACGAAGCCCTGCTCGATATATAAATCATTTGTTTTTCAAGACATTGACTGCTGAAATTAAAGTGCTTGTCTGAAAAAATAAGCTGGGCCTCGGAGTAGTGTAACTGTCAAACAAATTGACAGTAGTATCCAATAATCATAGGTATGGAATAGTATATCATCTGCTGTTAAAAAACATTTAACATGATATTCTAGTAAAGATTAAAAATGTCCGGCTACAATTAACTGTGGGCGACGTTCCGGCGCAGTTGGCGAAGTTCCGGGTGCAGTTGGCGAAGTTTCGGGTGCTGGAGATATAAATGGTTATACAGATATTTCAGAAAAGAATTAATTGTTTGTCAACACTTGCATTGCTCAAATTAAACAACTGTCAAGGAAACTGACGTTCCTTTCAATTAAATCAAAATTCATTACATGTTTACTGTTTATCCATATATTACATTAGTGGCAGCTATTGTTACAGACCTATTTGAGTCCACGCAATGTTTTATTTCATTCCATCTGATATAAAATTTCCTAAAATATATTTAACAAGTTATCAAATCGTTCATTAGGCTTACCTGTTGGCGATGTTCCTTCTGTGCCAGTTGTAACTATAAAGATATAAATGTAGTAGAACATTAATATGGGATAAAGTAATTATATTAAAGGTGGATAAAGAAATATCTAAGAAAAAAAGAATAAAGATTTGCTACGAACCTACAAAACAGGCGTGCACACTAACATCAATCGTCACTGGTTTGTCCGAATCCGTTGGTGTTATTTCAACCATAATCTCTGTGACAACGACTTCAGGTGGGAATTTAAGAGAATCATCAGTGGTATCATTCTGTTTAAAGATAGAACGATATTGTAATTTAAAGTTTATTGATGGATTCAAATAAAATAAAAGTAAACGACTGGAAACACATACAATTCCCCATATAAAGCATCTAATTAAATCAATGAATATAAACAATTTATGGTTGTACGACTCTTATCTTATAAATTGAAAAGAAAATATTGTATTGGTTTGACCATGACCATGTACTTACATCAGTAGATTCAAGTAGTGTCCATGGTGCTGAAGGTCCCGTTCGTCCAAATACTCTAAATGTTTGCACATTGTCATTGGCAGGAAGTTTTACTTCTGACAGATCAACGGGCTCAACATCATCAGTAAGTTTAAATGTGACGTTGGTAGGAGCATCCGATGGGTTAATTGTAAATTGATCACCACCTGGTCTCAGGTTCTCTGGATCATCTGTCGATGGGAATCCAGATGGTTGTTCAAGGTATTCAGCTGGTATAACTGTTGGACTTGCCATTCCTTCTGTCACAAGACACCGTGCTGAAATACAAGATGTGCCAAGTGTTAAGATACAACACACATCCATCAATCAAATGCATGTAAATCATTTTTTTCATATTTAAACTGTAATGGTCGCTTCAAAGATTTTGTTGGATTCAGAAAGTGTTCATATAAATGAAGCCTGGACATTATTCCCTTTCTTTAAAAAATAAATAAAAATAAACTTACGTGTAGTTGTTCCAACTGGTAAAATGAATAAAAGGAAAAGTTAAGATAAGATAAGTAACTCAACCAATTTTGTTTCAGCTTAGAATTGTTCGACTTTCTTTATTTACATACGTATCTAGATTTATCTTATTGTTGTTCTAAACTAACGAGACTGCAGTTGAACAAAATAAATATCTGAAATTTGACACTCGAAATTAGGGATATTCAGAAATTACAATTACCTGTAGGAGATGTTCCTGCTTCAGTGGGTGATGTTCCTGCTTCAGTGGGTGATGTGCCGGACACACTTGTTTCTAAAATAAAAGAAGTACGCCCATAGAATCATAGACGGCAATTGGATTGAATTCCTTGGAAGATTATTCAAATTTATTTTCTTTGCATATTTTCATCGTCGAAAACATAATAAAACTGAATTACAAATATATTAGTATCCTACCTTCGAAACATGCTCTAACATCAAGAGAGAAACTTGTTTCGGAATCGTTATTGGTTTGGGTTACTTCGACTCTGATTTGTGCAGCTTCCGTACCAGCAGGGAAGGTAGCTTTAAGAATGGGTGCTGATAAATCAGTCTGTAAAAATAATAGAAAACATCAGTTCTTGTAAACAAAAAACTCTTAAGGAATAGAGTCTTAATAGCAAGCGTGTTTATACTTACAGCAGTCAAATAAGTTGCTTCTGTTTCTGAACCACCAGTTGCAATTACAAATACCCTGATAGATCCTACATTCTGTGGTGATACAAGTTCCACTGATTTAATTTCTACCGTTTCATCAGTGATGGGTGCCAAATCGATTGTTACACTAATTGGCGAAGTTTGGGCAGGGAATGTAGCTGTGGTTGCAGTTCCTGGTCTAAGGTTTTCGGGATTGGAAACGCCTGGTGCTGTTATACTGGAAGTTGGAATAATAGCAGGGTCCTCCATACCTTTAACCTCGGCACAAACAACTGTAAATTAGAGCAAAACAACGGTTAATAAAATTGCAAATATTTTATAGTTATCAAATATGTTTGAAAGTTTTTTATTTATATAGTCATTTATATACGCAGGTGATGTTTTCAAAAACATAGAGTGGCCCTTTCAAAACATATTGGTAGAAAGACATCCTAGAAAGATGTCACAAGACATCGTGCTGAAATACAAGATGTGCCAAGTATTAAGATACAACATATATCCATAAATCAAATGTTTTGGTTTAAACTGTAATGGTCGCTTCAAACTTCAAAATTCTATAGTATCATGTTTGTGATATGTCATATTTAAGCTCAAATGTTGATTTATTGTTTTAATTTGACTGTTTACATTAATTTACGTGTTGTTGTTCCAACTGTAAATAGAAAACGAAACACAAATTATTAATAACAGATAACACTATAGCTTAGAAAAGCTTGAATAATTTAAACATCCCAATATCTCACAATATCAAAATTGGCGAAATTTAAATGATCTGCATATTTGTTTTAGTATGAATGAAGCTATGAATCATTTTCAAAGAAAATTACGGGTCTTATCTGTGAATAGATGTTAAGATGACATAACTTCATAGAAACCATTTAAAAATGTAAATCGTTATAGTAGTTGGGACGATTTTATATGAAACCACTAAAACCATTATTGTTGCTACTAGATCACTGTCTCTCTGAAGGGCTTTTGGTAATTAGCCAATTAAATAATTAATTAAAATCACATTGGTTTAAATTGACACAAAAATGTTGAAATACGCCGCTGTAATCATTTATTTAAATAGCTCCACCCATTCCCTCCAATCAAATCCGGGTTCATTGTCTAAACTGGTTCTTCGAATGGTTTCAGTAATTAATAATTATAAAACCAAATTAAACCCAAATTAGTAAAAATTATACCAATGTCGAGATATAGATTTTATAGTGATGTTTTATATGGACAGCTGAACGCATTATTTCGCCACTGGAGCACTGTCAATTTGAAGCGTTTAAATGATTAAACTTGTCATTTCAGTGAATTAACAACACCCTAAGCAACTAACATTCAGGCAAATGTATCAAATGCAAAACACAAGGTGCGGCACTTATGTAACCTATGGGGATCCATCACAAGGGAGGGTGTCAATCCGGTGACGCACGTTCAGTCTCGTACTCGTCTCGAGCAATCGGTTGCCATGAAACACACACCCTCTGTTGCAAGAGTGGTAAAATTGATCGAGCTCATCCTTTGGTTATCCCAATGCTTCATATGGAATTTAAAAAAAATCTGCTGAAAACTATAGCTTAATATCATTATCCTGTAATGTAGCCAAAGCTTCACACAAAATTTGAAAAAGGATCTCTTGAAAATTGTAGTCTCTATCAAGGTTTTTGGATAAGAAGATATCACTCTGGAAGCGGTCCTCTAGTAGTTTGTGGGAGAAGTTCCGGTCGCAGATGGCGAAATTCTTGGTGCCGGATATATAAATCAATTGTTTTTCAAGTGCATGGCCATCTGAAATTAAAGTGCTTGTCCGAGAATATAAGCCGGGCCTAGAAGATCTGTAACTGTCAAATACATTGACATCATTAACCATTACTGCTTTATGTAAATAGGCTACATCAAGATATAAATAATTGTAATTAAATGTAGTTGATTGTTTGTACTTGTATTACCTGTGGGAGAAGTTCCAGGCGCAGTCGGTGAAGTTCCGGGTGCAGTTGGGGAAGTTCCGGGTGCAGTTGGGGAAGTTCCTGGTGCTGGAGACAGAAATGATTTTATATTAAATATTTTATAAAAGAATGAATTGTTCATCAGTTCTTTAACTGCTAAAGGGGTTTGTGGTAGAAGGTCCTGGGCGCCGGTGGCGAAGTTAATGCTGCTCGATGTATATATCATTTGTTTTTCAAGACATTGACTGCTGAAATTAAAGTGCTTGTCTGATAATATAGGCTGGGCCTCGGAGTAGTGTAACTGTCAAACAAATTGACAGTAGTATCCAATAATCATTTGTGTAAAAGAACTACACCAAAATATAAATAATTGTTACTTCCATTAGATAGATATGGAATAGTATATCATCTGCTGTTAAAAAACATTTAACATGATATTCTAGTAAAGATTAAAAATGTCCGGCTACAATTAACTGTGGGCGACGTTCCGGCGCAGTTGGCGAAGTTCCGGGTGCAGTTGGCGAAGTTTCGGGTGCTGGAGATATAAATGGTTATACAGATATTTATGAAAAGAATTAATTGTTTGTCAACACTTGCATTGCTCAAATTAAACAAATGTCAAGGAAATTGACGCTCCTTTCAATTAAATCAAAATTCATTACATGTTTACTGTTTATCCATATATTACATTCGTGGCAGCTATTGTCACAGACCTATTTGAGTCCACGCAATGTTTTATTTCATTCCATCTGATATAAAATTTCCTAAAATATATTTAACAAGTTATCAAATCGTTCATTAGGCTTACCTGTTGGTGATGTTCCTTCTGTGCCAGTTGTAACTATAAAGATACAAATGTAGTAGAACATTAATATGGGATAAAGTAATTATATTAAAGGTGGATAAAGAAATATCTAAGAAAAAAAGAATAAAGATTTGCTACGAACCTACAAAACAGGCGTGCACACTAACATCAATCGTCACTGGTTTGTCCGAATCCGTTGGTGTTATTTCAACCATAATCTCTGTGACAACGACTTCAGGTGGGAATTTAAGAGAATCATCAGTGGTATCATTCTGTTTAAAGATAGAACGATATTGTAATTTAAAGTTTATTGATGGATTCAAATCAAATAAAAGTAAACGACTGGAAACACATACAATTCCCCATATAAAGCATCTAATTAAATCAATGAATATAAACAAGTTATGGTTGTACGACTCTTATAAATTGAAAAGAAAATATTGTATTGGTTTGACCATGACCATGTACTTACATCAGTAGATTCAAGTAGTGTCCATGGTGCTGAAGGTCCCGTTCGTCCAAATACTCTAAATGTTTGCACATTGTCATTGGCAGGAAGTTTTACTTCTGACAGATCAACGGGCTCAACATCATCAGTAAGTTTAAATGTGACGTTGGTAGGAGCATCCGATGGGTTAATTGTAAATTGATCACCACCTGGTCTCAGATTCTCTGGATCATCTGTCGATGGGAATC